GAAGTGGGCGAGTGAGGATTACGGTGCATTGTTCAGTTAAAGTTATCATTTCATGCTCACCAAATTTTTGGTTTTTAGACACCATATATTTCAAAATATTTACCCAATGTGGCATTAGCTCGAGAGCTTGAGTGAAATGAATTTTAATATGCAATTCATTCCATTTCTCAAGATTTTTTTTTAATTCAACTCAAGCTTGGCCTTGACCAAGCGTTGAGGATATGGTACATGTGGGGTCGATTTAGGCGCAACGACCCCCTTTTCACCTGGCTTGACTGTCAAAGTCACCGTGTCTCCTTGATCGTACTTCACCACTTCATCTACAACTTGCTTCTCCCTTCTTGGCACCCTGACGGTATTGCACTACTCGATGTTGCTCTTTCGTGGGCCTTCCATATTTGAGGGCAGTGCTCCCGATAGTCTGGTGCTTAGATGGGTTGCAAATTGACCCATCTGTGTTTCCATGTTTCGGATGGATGGAGCTTAAGGTGGACTTTGGAATACGGGAGCTGGCTGAGGTCGTGCTTGACGTTGACCTTTTAGTGGTGTTTGACCTTGACTTTGTTGATTTCCATCCCAGATTATATGTGTTGGAATACATGTTCCTCTGTTGAAGATTTGTGCTATTCACTTAATTCACAGAATCCATTTATTTTAGGCACAAGTCGGGGCTTTGGACTACATGGGATTGTTGGGTCTGCAGAGCTGCTACTTGCTTCGACAACTTCTCCAATTGAGCAGTGATTGCAGTAACTCCGTCTACTTCAAGAAGAACTTCTGTCTTCTTGGTTCCGTTGTCTGCCCTGTCTAAAGCCCTCATGCACTTCTTCATCACTATCCACTCAAATAATTCATAATCTTCGTCATATGTTAAATTCATGAACATTCCTCATGCTACTGAATCAAGCATAGTTCTCGAATTCTCTTGCAACCAGTCATAGAATATCTGTAGCTGACACAACTCTTGAAGTCCGTGATTGGGGCATCTCCGAATTAGCTGTTTTAATCGCTCATAGGTCTCAAAAAGTGTTTCGCCGGTTCTTGCAGGAAATTTTGTATTTCTCTCCGGATCCTTTTGGTTTTAGTTGGAGAGTTATACGTGTTCATGAACAACTGTGCAAGCTGGGGCCAAGAGGATACGGGGTGTGGTGCGCGGCTTTGCAACCATTCTCGCGTTGCGAGTGCTTGAAGAGGCAGAGCTGCAGTGATTTAGGTGACACCCCGTTCATCTTATGCGAATCACACGTCACAAGAAAATTGACCGAGTGAAGATGCGGATTCATGAGCTAACCCGCTGAACAAACCGTTGCTTTGGAACATTGTGAGAAGTCCCGCTCTAATTTCAAAATTGTTGGCTTCAATGGGGGTTGTTGAATGCTTGATTGAAAATTGAGTGTCGGAATGGTGTACTCGTGCAATGCTCGTTGGTGAGGCCTGCGAGATTGCTGATGAATGAGCTGGAGGTTTTCGTGTTGGTTAAAGATATTTTCTTCTGCATCTAGGAAGTTCCTTTGGTCATCCCTCCTACGGTTATTTCCTCCTTCCATAGCTACTTGAGCTTGTTGAGCCAACCGCCGAATCCTTCTGGCTTGCCTAAATGTTCGCTCGATTTTTGGATCAAGATGTATTAAGTGTGTCCAATGTCCCATTCGAAAAATAACCAATAAAAAATAGTTTAAAATAAAACAGGCTGAAGTAAGAAAAATTGATCAAACTCGATATTAGAATAAATAGATAATTTAGCCATATTCCCCGACAATGATGTCAAAAAGTTGTTGGGCTAAATACCTAACACGGAAGTGCATGTATCACTAACAAGTAGTAAAAATGGACTTCTGAGAGTCGGATGTCGATCCCAAAGGGAATTCTAAAATAGCTAACCCTAAGTACCGAATTCTAACAATTATGATTTTTATCGAGCCTACGCAAGTTTGTTAACTTTTATAAACTAAATAATTAAACAAGCTATGAAACAAATAACCACTATAAGATATCAAATAAAAATGAAACTAGAACTTTATCTTCCTCCTATGTGTTAATTCGTCACCTAATTAAACCTCTATCATGCAAGTTACGACTCCTGATTATTAACCCGAGACACTAAATTACTGATAACTGTTGTCGCCTGTATTATAAGTTTATCATTCATAAACAGCTCACTATATGTCTATGCAGACCAATTATGAATGAAACATTAACTAACAAGTCTCGTAAACGGCTACCTAATGTGATATATGTATGTCTACGATACCACATACAATTTAACACACTAATCCGGTGAAAAACTACTCGAAGGTTCTTCTATCCATGTTCTAATTATTAAAACGGTCTGTCGATTCAACTTTAACAATAACACATAACAACATAAACTAGCTAGATTCATGCACTAAATAAGACCAGATAGAAGAAATAATCAGGGAACCAAACTTGTATAATATTAGAAAAATAGGTTCAAAATCACCACATAGGATTCCAATAAAATCCTAGATGTTTAACTACTCATGTTCTTAAACAAAAAACAATAATTTAAATAAAAATACATAGATTCAGAAAAAAGGGAAATAAAAGAAGAACTATGATATATATTTGTCAAGTCTTCGTCTTCGATTCTCCGTTCTCTTGCTCTTCTTGCTCTAAGATTTCTCAAGTTTCGTCCTCCAAAACTCCCCCTTTCTTCTCTTGGAAACCTCCTTTTTATACCTAAACTAATGGCGCAAGTTTCCAAGTTTCAGCAAATTTCCGCAAAATAAATAAAAAAAAAAAACAAATCTCTGACCGCGGTATGAGATTTTGTACTAAAAACTCATACCATTGTTTGAGATAACAAATTTTTGATATTTAACTCTCTCCGACCACGGTATGCGATTTTGTACTAAAACTCATACCGCGGTATGAGACCACAGTAAGTTCTTTTCTTCTTAGAGTGAGGTCTGAGATTTCTTCATGATGAGACTGAGACCCCATATGAAAGCTACAACTGTTTGCCTGCTTTTTGCTCGTAATTGACCGTTTCCTTCCCAAGATGCTCAAATCTTCAATTTGTACTTAAAATACGATAACCGTGTCATTAAGCACCATTATATCGTTAAAATTACACAAAAATCCTCGTAAGAAAGTATAAATTGAGTGCTACACTCAATAGCGCACCTTACAAGCAACAGTCATCCCCGTCGCTTCTCGGATCAACTAGGAATTCTACATGTCACCCATCCACTCCAGCGGCTCATGCCTACTTTGCTGGACAACCATAACCCAACGACGGCTACTCATTCCCTGCCCAAGGTCATCCTCAGCAGCAGTCATGGCACAGTTCTAACAGTCCCATAAACTGTTACAACAGTTCGTCGAACAATGCCAACATGGTCGATTTGTCAAATCGCTTAAACACGGTGACACTTTAGCAGCCCAACCACTCTCAGTGGTTTATGGACAGTGAGGCGACCTTCCATATGGCATCACACTCATGTAATTTCAATTTTGTTTTTAATCCTAGCAGTACTTTTCCCAAACATGTTGTCGGTAATGGTTCCACCCACCCCATCACCTGCACAGGTCACACAATTCTCCCCACCACTCATTTTCCTTTTCTCACTGTGCGCGTACTTGGTATTGAAGAAATCAGATAAATCAGTGGTGGAATTGTTATCTTGGTATGTGGTGGTCGAAACAGGAGAAATTACCAAGCGGCAATTGCAAATTGCAATTGAGCAGAGTGGCAATATTTATTGGGGCAAAATTATAACCTTTTATTCTTTGCAGGTCATATTTGCTCTTGACGGGACTTTTATTAGTGGATTGATACAAGAATTTTGTTTCTAGTCAATGAATTGTTAGATCATAACATTCATTTGTAGATGAGTTTTACTTTGAATTTGATTGGTCAATAAATATTTGATAAATGTTTACATCTTTTCAGAATTCATCTTAGTTACTATAAGATGATATCACGGAGTAACTATAAGATGGAGCTTGTATGAGGCATTTCAAACATGTCAGCATAATTGATCCTTGTACATATACAGAGTGTAATCTCGTATAATGATAATTACTTTTAGAGAAATGCAACTTTAATGGAATATGTGTTTCTTGTTTATATATATATATATATATATATATATATATATATATATATATATATATATATATATATATATATATATATATATATATATATATATCAACCTTTTAAGGTTTGAAACTTTTGTTAATTTGTTGACTAATTACCCATGTTTATTTCAACCCGTGTTTATTTCAACTGATGGTTTTTGTTGACCGTGAGGGTTGCTATGTAAAACATTTGATGAAAAGAAATTGTCAACACGATGAAGTCAAAACTTGTTTCAGCTTCAAGGAGGGCTAATAATCACGGCTCAAGTTGAAAAGGCTAGTGTGCTTTATTAGTATTTTAACTTTTATCCATACGGTTTGCTTTTTTTTTTTTTTAATATTAGTTTTTGTCGAATTGAAAAATTGCAGATATGAAATGAATATGGATCAGTAGAGTGGGAAACTCGTGCTTCTAGTTAAGTGAATTAATACTGCATGAGCAACAAAATAGTTGTTGGACTTGATCGATACAGGTGTTTCATAGATCATATGCGAACAAGAAACTGCCTCTAATCCCATAGTAAGAAAATTCATATTATGTTATACAATATATTTGTTACTTAAATTAATAGTTTATATCTCAGTCTTAAGTTCAAACAATAAAACAGTTATTCCCTGTTTATTACATTATGTAGGTTTGTCTTGTCGTTTGTTGCTTTTATCTTTTAATTATATAATTTGTGAATTTCTTGTTGTATTATAGCTGTATGTATTGCATATACCCAATATACTATCAATTGTGGTCTAGTTGTGATTTCTTGAATATGAATTTCATGTTTTAGATATTTTTTCAGAGAGAGATAAAAAAAAATACTTCTTTGCTACATTTCCTTTTTTCTTCTACGAACTTGCTAACTCATTGTTTTAACTTTTCCAGATAGATACTTGCAATAGTTTCTAGTGTGAAGGCTTCACTCCTAACGAATCCTATAAACTGAAAATGTGGACTGAAGTCTGCACTAGCTGGTAATTAATCAAATTATTAGTTCTTTCTTTATACATATATACTGAAATTCTTTGAAGTCTTTTTTATATTTCATTCCTTAGTGATAACTGATAAGACTCCTAATTCTGAGTTGACTCTGTATGCAACACTGCAATGAAGTAAGAAAATAGTTTACGGTGTTATTGCTACATAATTCTCCCTATTAACGCATGCTTTATTTATCAGTTTCATAGCGCAATATTGTTAGACATTATGATAGAGAAGTCTATTCGATCTAGTCGCTTTCTGTTTGTTATTTTTTTTATAGCTAATTAAAGCGTGAAGAGTTTGTCTTCTGAATAACACCTGTTGATCTTTTCAGTAGATTCTGGAGCACTTGACTTCTGTTCATCGTAATTGAGTCATGTGACGAGGCAAATGAAAGATGAGCATTGGCGGCTGCTTAGAATTAGTCGCACGATTATAGTACTGTTGGATAATTTGGTATTTCAAGGATTTTGATGTATTGGATGGATGATATTGAGCTGGATTTGAAAATCCGATTTCTTTATGTTTTGATTATAAAAAAAATTAATATTTTCTTTGTGAGAGCAAGTAATACAACAAGATGCATCTTACCTTGTAGTTATTATCTACAACAGTCGGAAGCACATTGTAGAACATTTATAACCACAGTCGGCTGCATGTTGTATCTTGTGTATGACAACATGCTCAAAAGCCTTGTCGTAAAGATTACGACAATGCGCCGTTAAATGTTGTTAATTCCCAATAACAACATACACATTGTGTTGTTATACATCTTATACAATATACATATATGTGTTCTACAACAGGCGATGCATTTTGTCAAATATACCGAGATTTAACAACATGTCCGTCAACAACAGACCATGACGCGTTGTTGTTTCTCTATAACAACACTCACCGAGTGTTGTTAAAGGACCTTTTTCTTGTAGTGCCTCACGAAGCTCTTCACCTAACAAACCCTACATACTCCCATCTTCGAGTGTTTGGTTGTCTCTGTTATCCCAACCTCACCGCCACTACGCCACATAAACTAGCCCTTGCTCTACTCCTGTCTTTATCGGTTACCATTCCTCCCATAAAGGCTATCATTTCCTTGATGGATCCACCGTCGAATCCTTATCTCCCGTCATGTCACCTTCGACGAAACTCGTTTTCATTTTGCTGAGTCCACTTCCCCCACAAACCCACTCCATATCTCTGACATGGGAGAAAACACAAACCCACAACTTTTTCTTCCTCAAGTCCAATAAGCCTCAAGTCTCTTTTCGTCAAAATGATCCAAAAATTCGTCCAACTGTTCCAACAGTTCAAAGCACTGTTCCAACAGTTCATTGAACAGTTCTCCAACCTTCCGGATTCGTCGATCCATCTCGCCCTACTCATGTGTGCCGTCTCAACAAGGCTCTGTACGGTCTCATGCAGGCACCCCGAGCTTGGTATAAGCGTTTTGCCACTTATATCACCACCATGGGCTAAAATCTGACACCTCGCTCTTTATACTGTGGCAACAGTTCCCTGGCCTTCCTCATACTGTATGTCAATGAAATTGTGCTTACGGCTTCCACACCCGCACTCTTGCACTCTATCATTTCAAACCTCAATCAGGAGTTCGCAATAAAAGATCTTGGCGACCTTCACTATTTTCTCGGCATATCAGTCACTCATTCGTTGAATGGGCTATTTCTCTCTCAACGCAAGTATGCCGACGAGATACTAGAATGGGCCCACATGGCTTCTTGCAACCCTTACCTCACGCCGACCGATGCCAAGAGCAAGTTGTCTTCGACCATTGGACCCCTAGTTGCTGACCCTACCCTCTATCGCAGGCTTGCCAGCGCATTACAATACCTCACTTTCACTCGTCCCGACATCTGCTATGTTGTGAACAAGTTTTTTTATTTATGCATGATCCGAGGGAACCACACATGGCTGCTCTCAAGCGTATCCTTTGCTACATTCGTGGGACTCTCGACCACGGCCTTCTCCTTTCTCATACTCCGGACTTATCTTTGTTAGGTTGATTCCTTCTTTGGTACCTTCCCACCAATGACGGGCTTCGTTCTTTAATAGGAAAAGAGAACAGTGGATTCGATCTCGGTCGGACATTTCCATGTAATCGAAAATGACTTCTAAGGATTTGATCCATTCTTCGGCTATGGTTGGGCGGGGTGCATTCTTAGAAACTTTCGTAAATGGCTTGGGGTGCGGTATTTTGAGGTGGCGAAGGTGGAGGGTTTTGGTTGTGAAGGTTAACAAGCCGTTAGATTTGTTCGTTTTGTTCTCGGATGAGGGCGACGAGGTCTTGTATGGTGCGAGATTGATCGTTCGGACCGTTAGCGGCATTTTGAGCTCGAGTTTGTGCTCCCGACATATTAGTACTTTAAATAAATAAACATTTCACATTAGTCAAATAATTCTTGCACATAAGCCTTTTAGAAAATAATGAGTGTGGAATGCTCGTTTTAAAAATCACCTTCTACAAATAGAAAGTTACGCATAAATTTTCTTCTAAAATCAGAGGAAGACTGTCCGCATATTACCATATCATATACACTTAACCAACTATCACAAAAGAGGCATACATGACTAGTAATTTAAATTATTAAGAGTAAAGAGAGGAATTTTGGACATATTAGATTTATCAACTTTGAAAATTAATTTCTTTTAAACCCTTCTTGAAAAGGATTTGAAAATCTAACCACATACTCTCATATGGGTCTAAATCACTCCTTTAAAACAGTTTTAAAATATCATTAGTCTTTGAGAGAAATAATTAAACACATGAAACTGTACAGTTTGAAAATCCAGAACATGGGAGGGAACTTTGAAAATTATTTATAAATTCCCTACTGTTCAAAACACTACCAAATTTTATAGCAAAGCAAAAAAATGAGTTAGGAAAATACTCCGAGTTAAATGAATTCATTTGAGTAAGAGAAACTTCATATATTGACGCATGTTCTAAAATGACTTGCATGTGTACAGTTAGGAAAAATAATTCATAATAAATTCATGGCTTATCCAATTAATGCAAGAGACCTACCAAAAGAGCTGTAACAGAATGACCTATGACTCTGTAAATTTACATACAATTCAAAATAGAAGGTATATTTAATACACATTATCAAACAACAAGGCATAAACAACATATAACTAACCGGTAAGCATTATATAGAAGTTTTGGCAAAAGAGGAAATCATAAATCCTTATTATTATTAAATGTAATGTTCTTACTAATAAGAGTCCCGAGGGGAGGAAGAGTACGATAATATATATCTAACACGGTGTCGAAAGTCTTTAAAATTAAACTTATAAGTAAAACAACATGACGAGATTAAGAGCTCACAAGATCCACACGTCTTCCATATGAACACATCCCTCGATCCTCGAACTCGACTCCAACTTTACGACTCGTGCTCGGGATTGAAAGTACCTACAAGAATTTCAACACCCATATGAGTCTTTTGGACTCAATGAGAATTTTCGAAGATATACCGAATACACATAGGCAAACAAGCATATATTTATTTATGATATGTATATATGTTTATATACCATCTCAAATCACACATATACACAATATAAACATTTCAATTTTACCTCTATCGTCATTTCATTGAGGAACTTTACCAATCCTTTTACCTTCTCGGTTTACCTCTTAGACCTTCTCATTTTACCTCTTAGACCTTCTTTTAATCATTTCATAAGGAATAGAGTAAATCCCTTACAAGGGAATCGTCATTCTTTTACACATACATTCATTCAAGTGCTCATACAATGTGTGAGAAAAATATTTTTGTTCGGATATCCTTTGAAAAATCAAGTAAAACCATAGACAATAAGCCTTCATTTATTTGGAACCCGTTTCATAAGTAGAATCAAACCACACACTCTTCATCTCATTTTTTGGGTACCGGTCCCTCATACCCCGTGCTTATTCGATCTATGTTTTACAAGATTTTACAACTTTAAAAACGTGCAAGTGAGGTTAGTATATATTCTTAGTTTTCACATGTTCAAAGTTAGCTTCCACATAAGGATATTAGTACACATATTTCCACATATTTCACAAAGTCACATAGTTTAGTCCCAAAATCACAAAATCACAAAATCAAAAAATCAAGTAAGAGATATAACAACTCAAGCAAAGAGCACATATCACATATTGTACACATAGCAAAAGTAGCTCAAAGCATTGGGTTATTTATAGTTACTACCTCCAAGTTTCATTAATTAAAGTTCAAGCCCTCTTTGTTAAGAGACTTGAAGTTTCTTTTCTAGTAGCACCAAGTTTCCATTTATTTCATTTTCTTTCTAGATCTTCACATGCAAGATAACATTAAGAGTTTTTAATACTCATTCTTGTAATTACTACATGCATTAGCAATTTAAACATTTTCCTCAAAGTCTTTCCAAAAATATTCGAACCATCAACAATTCAATCACACATAATTTCATTTTTATTAATCTTGTTCTCGGTTTTTATCTTCGTATATTATCTTATTACTCATAGATCATAAACCATGGATTGCAAGCTTCCTCGACCCGAAGGGAGTAGACTTACAACCACGTAGGTCGAGATATATATATATATATATATATATATATATATATATATATATATATATATATATATATATAGAGAGAGAGAGAGAGAGAGAGAGAGAGAGAGAGAGAGAGAGAGAGAGAGAGAGAGAGAGAGAGAGAGAGAGAGAGAGACACATAGAAACATATACTTGTATATAGCATATATTAAATTATAAAAAAACCATGGATCAAGTACTTTCTTCCACCACGCAGGTTTACGAAAACCATGGATCGAAGCATATATATGCACACACATTAAATCATCATTTTATCCTTACTTCTTCAAGATTATAAAGCTTAGATCATTACATGCAAGGATGATCAAAGCATAAATTAAACACACAATTTTATTTTCTTCCTCCTTTAGTTTTCGGTCATCACAAGAACATTAACAAGAAATTTTAGAGAGAGGAAGAAGTAGCTTAGCTTCTTGAAATTTTCGAAAATGAAGAAAAGAAAAAGGAGGAAGAAGACTTAGTCCTTTGGCCAAGAATTTTACTCTTGAAAGAGAGATTGTAGGGCTTTCCTACACAGTAATTTTGAAAATGGGAGAAGAGGAGAAAGATATTTTGATCTTTGATCTTCAGGATGTGTATAGAAGATGAGAAAACATATGAAGGCTTGGGTTCTATTTATAGAGTTGTGGAGCTTAATGATTAAGAATGGGGGAGTGGCCTTTTTGTAATTTAGGCAAACTTAGGAATTATCTAGAAGGACTTCTTTGCAATTGCATTTAACTATCCAAAAAGAAATTCAAAAAGAAAAACTTAATGAAGATGGATCACCTAGAGAAGGGTTGTACTCAAGGAAAATTTTTGGTCTTGTGTTGTACCATGGTGGCCGAAAATTTGAGGGAGTATTAAGGAGAAATCTTTGATTTTTCTTTAAGAAAATATGTGATTTAAAAGTCTCCTAATAAATGAGTTCTAGCAAAATAAATGAGTATAATTAATCTCTAGATATAATAATTAAC